ACAAGTCTTCTAACTATCCGTTTAATATAAAATGTGTTAGAACAGCTTTACCTCTTTTTTATTTATGCACCTTAATTCTAATGTTAACATTTATTTTAAGATTAAGATACGTTATACTGTATGAAATTAATTAATAAATACATAAAATGCTATTGTAAAGAAAAATGTTTAGCTTTGATTCATTCCAGTGTTTGTCAATAAATAATTCAGAAATTTGCAAACAGTTTGTTGGAGTATTGTTTTAACTGAAATCAAAACAAGAACAATGTGGAACTCTACATGAGGGGTGTCCAACCAGTCGCTCGCCAGCTGAGTCCCAGGTGCCCGCGCAGCGCAACCTTGCTGCGGAGCCTCTAGCGCCGGCTTTGAGCATCGCATTCCGGAGTGGCTGGTCTTTTTTGAAAGCTCTGGTTTTGCCCTACAAGGTGAAAGTTGAATGAAGTCCCTGTGACGTTCCCCCGTGGAGCAACAAGCAAAAAACCTCCAAAGTATGCACCGTCGGCCTTCGCGCCAGGAAAGTGAGAAGGCTTTGGAAAGCTGCGGTCCTCCTCTACAAACTGGAGGTGGTTGCAAGTTCCTGGGACGTTCCCCCACGGAGCTATTAACCAATGACCGGCCGAAAAAGACGCTTTGGCGGGCGATATAGTACTTAATTTACTCTCTAGCGCCGGCTCTGAGCTTCGGATCTGGGCGGGAGACAGCTCTTTTTAATTTTCTGGATCTTCACTACAACCTGGAGGTGGTTGCAAATTCCTAGGATGTTCCCCCGTGGAAGATATTAGCGATCAAATGTCGTCGGGCGAGCTCCGGCGGGTGAAACGGCTGATTTCCCGCAGGGGCTGCTTGTGCTGATGCAGGGGAATAAAAGGAAGAGATCCAGTGAGGTGGAACCATGGTCCTACGTCCAGCACCTGCTCTCCTGCCTGGATTCAGCCAGAAACCCCTGGCAGGTGATATTTCTGCAAAAATGCATAAAATTCAGAAACCCACCTGATGGATCTGTTCCAGACAATAAAAGGAACAGATCTGATCCAGTGAAACCGGTCCTGGAAGCTCAGCACCGGGTTTTATGTCCGCCTGCGACAGAATTTTATATTGTGTGCTTTGATTTTGGAAAAAAAAAAAAAAGGAGGTAGTATGTTGACCCTGATAGATTTTTGTTCTGTTTTTCCTCCCCTGTATGGAGAGAAGAGAGGAGGGTTCTTTGAATAAATGGAGATGAGTTCCCGTGCTCCAAAGTTATTTGACTCTGTGGTTCTCACTGGGCGTGTTTTCAGCCCACGTAGCTCGCACGTTACAGTGAGTACTAATTGAAGGAGGTAAAAAAAATTGATCCTTTTTGTTCGAGCATCACTTTTTTGTTTCTCTGTCAGGAGTTAAATAAAGATTTTATCTTCTTTTTTTGTAGGTAAATATATGGTTAAGTAGATAGTTTTGTTTGACAATACTTTAAATAAAATAAAACTAGCAACACATTACGTTCTGTTTTATTTACTTTAAAGAAGTGAGGAATAGGGAGACCATATTATGTTGATTTTTTTTTTATGCTGAGACTGGACGAGTAGCTCTTGGCAAACTGCCGTCTTCAAAAGTAGCTCTTGGTTCAAAAAAGGTTGGGCACCCCTGCTCTACACCAAAGCATCAATGGGTAGGCCTCTGCCTGTGCTGGACATGTCAGAATGAACACTTTGATGCCCTAATCTAATCAGACAGTACTACCGTAATGGAGTGACTATGCCTATTTACAGGTCCTTCTCAAAAAATTAGCATATTGTGATAAAGTTCATTGTTTTCTGTAAACATTAAACTTTCATATATTTTAGATACATTGCACACCAACTGAAGTAGTTCAAGCCTTTTATTTTTTTAATATTGAAGATTTTGGCAAAGTAAAGAAAAAACAAAAATCCCTATCTCAAAAAAGTAGCATATCATGAAAAGGTTCTCTAAACAACTTTACCTAATCATCTGAATCAACGAATTAATTCTAAACACCTGCAAAAGATTCCTGAGGCTTTTAAAAACTCCCAGTTCATTACTCAAAACCACAATCATGGGTAAGACTGCTGACCTGACTGCTGTCCAGAAGGCCATCACTGACACCCTCAAGCAAGAAGGTAAGACACAGAAAGACATTTCTGACCAATAGGCTGTTCCCAGAGTGCTGTATCAAGGCACCTCAGTGGGAAGTCTGTGGGAAGGAAAAAGTGTGGCAGAAAACGCCGCACAACGAGAAGCGGTGACCGGACCCTGAGGAAGATTGTGGAGAAGGGCCTATTCCAGACCTTGGGGGACCTGCGGAACTGGTGGACTGAGTCTGGAGTACAAACTTCCAGAGCCACCGTGCACAGGCGTGTGCAGGAAATGGGATACAGGTGCCTCATTCCCCAGGTCAAGCCACTTTTGAACCAGAAACAGCAGCAGATGCGTCTGACCTGGGCTAAAGAGAAGCAGCACTGGACTGTTGCTCAGTGGTCCAAAGTACTTTTTTCGGATGAAAGCAAATTTTGCATGTCCTTTGGAAATCAAGGCGCCAGAGTCTGGAGGAAGACTGAAGAGAAAGGAAATACTAAAATGCCTGAAGTCCAGTGTCAAGTACCCACAGTCAGCGATGGTCTGGGGCGCCATGTCAGCTACTACTGGTGTTGGTCCACTGTGTTTTATCAAGGCCAGGGTCAATGCAGCTAGCTWTCAGATTTTGGAGCACTTCATGCTTCCATCTGCTGAAAAGCTTTATGGAAATGAAGATTTCATTTTTCAGCATGACCTGGCACCTGCTCACAGTGCCAAACCCACTGGTAAATGGTTTACTGACCATGGTATTACTGTGCTCAATTGGCCTGCCAACTCTCCTGACCTGAACCCCACAGAGAACCTGTGGGATATTGTGAAGAGAAAGCTGAGAGACACAAGACCCAACACTCTGGATGAGCTTAAGACACAAGACCCAACACTCTGGATGAGCTTAAGACACAAGACCCAACACTCTGGATAAGCTTAAGACACAAGACCCAACACACTGGATGAGCTTAAGACCCAAGACCCAACACTCTGGATGAGCTTAAGACACAAGACCCAACACTCTGGATAAGGTTAAGACACAAGACCCAACACTCTGGATAAGGTTAAGAC